TACGTATATATATTTTTATACGTGGTAGAGACATGCTGTAATTATATTAGTAGTATAGTTGTAACACGATTGGGTCGGCTCGACCGGGGAAGGACCACGCTCTCACAGAATACCAGCGTGAAATATTAGCTTAACGCTGCTGTGTTTCGTATGGTGAGTGTAGCGACCGGATACCCTTTTTACTGGAAACGAGGCATTCCATCTTAAACCTCACGGGTGACAACACATCTGCATTTTGATTCGTAATCGAGGATAGATGTAGATGTCTATGGGCCACAGCAACCACTTACCACCAGGTGGACTGTGTGCTCGTTTGTCACCCTATCCTATAAAAAATATCTATCTGTTAAAAGAGCAGATGAAAAGGCTCGGTACTGTTTCAAAATTCTGACAAAATTTTCAAACAATACGACACTTTTAGTAAATCCATAGATTTAGACTGCATATCTTTTTTTGTGCGAGCAGCTATGCAGGTCTAGAAAGACGAGTATCACCGCAACCGAAAGTATTTGTTGTGATCGCCGCTATGGCTATAGTTCACTGTTAAGGCCTATGTTCTGAATAAATAGGTGTTGCTTAGCTGCCGATTTCACGTCTTATGGGCGAAGAGATAGTTTTTGACATGTGCTACATCTGCGCATTAAGGGTCCACAATCAGTTAGGTGGTGAAGAGGCGTTTCTTCCGTTAGAGAACGAAACCGACACATCCTTGAGTTCCTTAGTCCCAGGATGACCACGTGCTTTTCAAGACAACAGTGTCCAGTCTGGGTTCTTGCCAGAATGCGCTGTTTGTTTCTATTTAATCCCAGGGCTTTTTAAGTGAATTTACGATCTAAAGCCCGGATTAAGGTTTTAAAATGTTTTAAGCCTGGTTTATCAGACCAGATCTTAAGTAATTTACTGTGATAAAGAGTTTCAAGGGCTATATCAATCGGACTAGACTTTTTGAGACTCCACAAAATGTCTCGATTCCAAATTGTGTGCTCTTTATGCCCTTCCGTGCGAGCTCATCATCAAGTTCATTGCCTAAAATATCCACGTGGCACGGAAACCATCTTCAAACGACCCTTTTGTTACATCTCAAAGCGCTTAGACGGTTCACGCGGTCTCCAACTAACTTCGAGATCTTCTCTACCTCTACTTCTTAGTAAAATATCATCTGATGATCTCAGCGCTAGAAGTTCTGCTTGACTATCAGTTTTTATATAGATTATATGATTGACGTAGTGTTTTTGTAGATTGATTTCCGCACACTGAAGTATGACGACAATTTCCGCCTGAAATATAGAGGTGGATCTACACTAATTCATACTATGTTTGAATTTGGGGTATTCCCCATTAATCCCAAAGCCTACGTCGAGGTCTATTTTGGACCCATCGGTGTACCATATAAGCCTACTGACCTCAAAGATAACCTGTCCATTCAGCCAGTATTCTCTGGAGGGTATAGTTACACTATATACATTTTATTAAAATTTTATAGTGGACGCGTAATATCTGAGATCATGCATAATACCCGTGTATCCTTAATTGAGTCGAGCATGGATCTAAATTTTTAGGAAACCAAGCGTATACCGCTCTGGGCGTTAATCCTATACAAACTAGCCCTCGCCTCCTGGTCTAAATAAAGATCAAGGGAAGTTAGGCACAGAAGAGCATTAAAAGCTACTCCGGGCGATTATCGCATCGCTCCAGTTGCCATTAAGCAGGCAGTCCTTTGTAGACTATTTAGTTTTTCCGCAGTCGTCTTCTGATTGGCCTTATTATACCAGACAATGGAGGTATAGGTGATAATCAGCTTCACTATGCTGCTGTACAGCCATAAGATCATACTGGGACGCAAGTCCCAGTTGTTCCCAACCATACGACTGCACGTACCGAAATAATTTTTAGCAGTATGACATACGTCGCTTAGGTAAGAGGTACACTTTAGTTTATGGTCGATTGTTACGTCCAATTTTTTTTATTGGATAGGGTGACAAAAGAGCACACAGTCCACCTGATGGTAAGTTGTTTACCTAGCGAGATGTTTGATTCGATAGACTCGATTACGAATCAATATGCAGATGCATTGTCAGTTTCTAGTAAGAAGGGGAGACCCTTTTTCTGTTCTCTACACTCATCATACGAAATACAGCAGCATCTAGCTACTATTTTACGCTGATATTCTGTGAGAGCGTGGTCCTTCCCCGGTCGAGCTGATCCAATCGTGCTACAACTATGCTACTAGTATAACTGTAGCATCGCTCTATCACGTATGATTACTTAACTTTTTCGATAATTAAAAGAATTAGGCGTAACTTTGCGGAAGTCCAATATATTTCAGTTGTTAGAAAATAATTTGCTCATTTCCGCGTAATAAAATACAATGACGTGTCCTGCCAAATCTAAAGAGCACCTACCTCCCACTCTGCTCCAGTTGCTTGCACTATCCCCTTCACCACCACTCTCGGCGCCACCCCTCCCAGCACACCACACAAGGAACGGAACACTACCCTTAATAATACGACATGTGTCGCTTCTACACGAGGCATCCTCAGATGAAGTAGACTCTGCGGAGGCTGACGCTACTTTCGTCATCACTAATCCCATCACCACCACTCCTAGCACACTCGCCGCTCTCCATACGCTGCTATTTATACAACTCGTTGATCAGCGAGTTGTATAAAAAGCAACTGTTTCTGCTAGTCGCTCATTTAGCCTTCAGCTACCGTAGAGACTACTTCACATGTGGATGCCTCGTGTAGAGGCGAAACACGTATCGTATTATCGAGAGTGGTGTGTCGTTCCTAGTGTGGTGGTATTGGGTGTGGTGGTACAGAGAGTGGTGCCTGCGGGGCTAGTGCATGCAATTGAGGGGGGATAGGAGGTGCTCTTCAGACTGGGTAGAACACATCATCTTATTTTATTACGCGAATATGAGCAAATTTAGTTCTTATAACTTCAACCACGTGGATTAACAAATGACCGAGAATATTGAGTAAAATTCTAGTTTGAACACCTTTAATATTCCTGCCATCTTCGCACCATAATTGTGCGAAGATGGCAGGAATATTAAAAATTGTATTAAAGTCTAAGTCAACACGGGCAGCAAACACTTGTACAATTACCATGTATGATGATGAGGCCAGTAAGTCCTTTTTCCGGAGAGTCACTTACTGGCTTGTAAACAACAAAATACTGGTGCTTTGATTTCCTAATTATCATCAACAAAACGGAATGTTAGTGGTAAAAGTGAGTGAATTGATGACCGGTGCCCGGTGGTAGCGTTTCGGTTGATTTCGGCCCCTCTCCGATGACGGCGCCCGGTACGGTCACTCCGTTCGCACCACCCTCGGGCTGCCACCACTTGTAACTATTATTTATTCTGTGGTAAGAGTAAAACTTAAAAGTTGACTGACTCGTTGGTCTAGGTATATGCGATTGCTGATCGTGAGATTCTGGATTCAAATCCCAGGTTAGGCCAAAATCAGAATAAGGAAGTTGGCAGTGTTTTTACCCCTGTGCCTCGGTAAGCACGTAAGCCATAAATCCTGCGTCAGATTTCTCTCTGGTCGTATCCGATTACCGTACCTTTGTATCTTCGGAATATATAATCCTGTTCTGCTCAGATGACTAATCTCCGTTGAGACTAGCCGCCGTGACCGAAGTTCTGTCTGGGGGAGATCATTATTTTCTTTAATCCTAAAGCCGTAGAGTACAAGACCTTTGCCCAACCTAGCTAGCAAATCATAATTATGACATTCTATCTTTGGTCATGGCGCCACATTCCTTTTGGAATAGTTAGAAATTCCAACTAAGACATGTTAATAATAGTTTATTATATTAATTTAACTAATTGAAAAAATCTTTTATAACTTCCGATAGGTAAAGTCCGGACATCAAGAATGAAGAATTTCATACGTTGACCTGTTATTGCGAAAGATCGCCATTCTCAGTAATTGTAAACATTTTACCTGAGACTGTAAGGTTTGTTGTTGTTTGCACGTGGTTTTTGTTTGGCCTTGAGGCACGAACAAAAATCCTTGGCTTGCTTGACATTATTAATAACTTTTAAATTACGAACAAACGTCATTTCATCTTGGGATGCGTTAGTGATCACTCAGTTTTCGGACACAGTTATCTCAGTTATCTATTTTTAGTTTATTGTTGTATGTAAAGTTTAGTTATCTCGTTTTAATTGTTAAATGTTATTTTAAATTTGTTAAGTTTAATGTAGACAAAACTGTTGATTCTTTTGTAATAAATGTGACAGGCGGGACGTCATCGGAAAGGAATAACTCCGATACAAAGAAATCGGATTCAGAATTTTGAATTTTCGTTTTCTTATTTCTACCAAATTAGTAATTGTAACTCGTTTTTATAACTATATTTATATTAAAATCGAAACAAACAATTTATATAATACCAATAATTTGTTTAATACGTTAGTAAATAAATTTTTTTCTCCTTCAAATATTTCACATTAACTACACGTAACACAAAAATGTTTGTGACCACTGTCAGTAGGCAATGAAGTCTTTGTACGAAATTCTTCTTGCACTGCGGCTGGAATTTAGCTGTAGTAATTATCTCGTTTTCATCAAATGTAAAATACTCAGACTGGCGACGAGCATCAGTGTCAAATGAGCGAGATGGCGTAAACGTGACGATTAAGGCAATACCTTCTTCAACTGGATAGGCCCATGTCTAGTAGTAGACTTCTTTGGGAATTCGGTTTGGTCTGAAGGGATTCCATCTTAGTTCTCAGAGGTGACAGATTCCATCTTAGTTCTTAGAGGTGACAACGCTGTAACCTTCTTTGTTTGAATTTGGTTGCAGGTATCCTTGGACAGCAGTAAACATTACCATCAGATGGACTGTACGCTCGTTTGTTACTTAAAATTAATAAAAAAACTTTTTCATGTTGTACAATAATTTTAGCAAAAGTCATTAATCAATAAAAATTATTATTTAATTGCATAGATTATTTTATTATAATTTTTTGTTTTTGTTTTTATCTACAAATTCATATTGTTATTCAAATACATCTGAGCTAATCTGGGGTTGATTTTGTCCCAAGGTAGGAATACTTTGAGACCATCAGCTAAAACCGTCGATTCAACATCTCGTCTGCTGCAAGAGACGTTACAGATGAAGTCACAAGTGAGGGTTTTTGGGTTAAAGTGCAGTCCTTCGGAACAAACGACTAAAACAGCTGTTGAACCGTCACAACGCCAGAATTTGTCGCAGTCGTTTTCATGAGGCCAGGGAAGGATATTGCAGCCATCTTCACATTTGTTTTTGTTTTCTCCATCTCCACTTTCACTCTCTCCATCTCCACTACCTCCTTCCCCGTTACCTCCATCTCCATCAGCTCCTTCGCCGCTACCTCCATCTCCACCTCCATTGGTAGCACAACCGGCATTCTCAGGCCAATCGCACACCTAAAATGCCGATAAGAATAAGAGTGAATAATTTAAAATAGTTCAGTAATTTAATTTTTTACAAATTAATACGTCGTTTACACTATATAATTAAGGCTAAGATTTCCTTCCTTCTCCACTGCACATTTGCAACATGAAGTAAGCGTGCGAAATTCGGTGGACAAAAAGTTACTTTATTTTAAATTATAATTAAATTAAAAAAAAGATAAAAAAGAAAATTAAAAAGAGCATGCTTATGTATACTGCAATATTCGAAGTCAATATTGGGCTCTATTTGAAAAACAGCGCTACTGTCATCCAATACAACATTAGCTATATGAAATAGAGATCTAATTTGACTTTTCACAAACTATTTGGTAATATTTTTATCTCGAGTTATTTAATTTTTTTTGTAATGCCAAATAAAGTTTTCTTACTTTATTTCTAAGTTCATCCTGGACGCTTAACCATTTTTGACTACATCACCACTTATTTTCTGTTCAGGTTGTAGCCTAGCAATGGCTTTTATAGAGTAAAAATAATACAAGTCTAACGCATTTGCATTATCTATTTACCTGCAGCATTGGATTAAAATGCGTGCCAGGTGCACAGGTGCGTTCCACTTTCTCTCCAAGCACGCAGTAGTAGAACTTGTCGCAGTCTGTTTCATGTGGGAGAAGTTTGTGAATGTCAAAGTCACTTGGACATCCATTTGGAAGCAGTCCTCCTTCACCGTTGCCGTTTTCGTCTCCATTTCCATCAGTGCCACAATCGCCACTGCCTCCACCGCAGCTTTCCCCTCCCCCGCTTTCGCCTTCTCCGCCTTCGCCCTCTACGCTTCCGCCTTCTCCGCTTCCCTCTCCTCCGCAGATTCCTTGTCCACCGCTACCATCTCCGCAGCTTCCTCCTTCACCACTTCCATCTCCACCGTTTCCTTCGTCTCCTCCACCACCACTTTCAATACCACCATCGTTGTTGGCACAACCAGCATTTTCAGGCCAGTCGCATACCTGGGGATTTTTTTTTATATTTTATTATTTTTATATTTTCATATAAATTTTACATTATATGTATAGTATAACTTTAAATAGAAGTTCATAACCTCACATTATTCATCGATTTTTTAGCAGTTAAATACTAAGGTAGGTTAAGTAGTGGTACTAACTGCAGAGTCTCGACTTTTTTACTTAATTGATAGTAAAATTAATGAATGAATTATTTGTTCTCTCTTCATAACAGGTAAACTTTGTACTATGAAATAAACAAGTGCCAGACAGTTTCCTAACTTGTGAGGGACTGGTGACTAGTGTAGGCTTAAAAAACATGTACATCACCAGAGCTCCTCCACGGATAGAGCAACAATTATATTAAAGATATATGATTTAATTGTAGAAAAAATAATACATAACTGCAAATAGTTCTTTTAGTCCGGCTGAGGTTCTTGCTGATTCTTCCTAAGACAGAGGCTATATATTCCGAATCAGTGGTGAATTATACCAAAAAAGTTTTATGATAAGGTAATATTTTGAATCTTTATTCACTTTATTGAATGTAAAAATTTAATTCTATTTCGAAGCTCAGTTGAAGTGAATATCCACGTATTGCAATGTAATAATTTTTTGGTTTTAGTTATAATCGTTATCAGGTTAAATATTTTTCACGATACAATATTATAAGTAGAAGTTTGCTTCTGCATTTCGCCTGGTCAGTGTTAATATATTCAAATGTTGATAATAAAAATTCGTTATTTGCTTGTTAAAGTCGTTTTATGATTACTTCCATATTTCTAAAGATCCAAATTATAAAATCCCTGAAGACTTGTTATTATTTTTTTAACACGCGATTATCTCATTCTTTAGGAATGCATTTTTTATTCGTTTTCACAGGTAACAACGTTGACTATATTATAATTTTATAGTACCTCCGTGAAATGCTTTACAGCGTGCGAATGTACTCGTATCTCTAACCACACATAAAATTAAATTTAGTAAACAGAGTCAAAAACAAAATTATTAAATTACATAATTAACATAGTAAATACAAATTCATTGACATTATAATAACATTTATTTAGAGTATATTTAAATTGCACATTATAACAATTATATCTCAAATGATTCATTTAAAATCGATATACACGAGTAATAATGTACTTATGAATAAACAATTATAAGTATAATTAATGAAATTATAATATTTACAATTAATACTAATACTAAAAATATATATTATAATAACTAAATTAAATTATTAAAAAAAGAGGTCCTTTAGGCAAGGTTCCGAAGATACTGGCAGCGTTTCCCCGTTGAATAGCTAGACTAATTCTTTGTCCGAGGTAACTGCCAGCTCTTCGGTCTCCTGTGACGTCGATTAACCTTTTTGCTATTTCCTTAAAAAGGCTTATAGCGCTAGGACCCCACGGACCAAGGGTCTCGACACCGAAAGGGACAAAAATATATTCGGAGCCTAGACCCCTGTATTTGCAAACTTTAGCCTTTTCTGCCGCTTCACAAGCCGCACCAGCTCTGTTGTTGGTTCCACGTAGATGGGAAGGGGCCAGCGTGTCTGAACAGGTTGCATCCCATACCAGCACCCGGCCCATCCTCCATGGAATCAAACTCATACCGTCCGGAATTTATGTGATCAGGTAATTCATTATAACATAATTAAGAGGCCATTTCAACAATACTTTTTTCATGAGGGCAGTTTTACATACATTTGTTCGGATTCTTTATTTTCGATGACGAGAGTTAACAGAAGATACAATCATTTAAAAAATATCCGGATTGAACCTTACAAACATACGTAGTATTTGATTAAATACAGGGTAATGTTAATACCTTAAGGGACCTAAAGTATGGGATGCAACTTTCTGTAGGTTTTATTCCACATATAGCTGAATACGCTATTTTTGAGCTTTCATCATTAATTTCCTGTACGTTGATAGTCCCAAAAATAATATGCCATATAGCAAGGTCGAAGTCACAAAGCCATGGTAGGCTGTTAGAACAGTCTTTCGGTCAGCTATTTTTGACAGTTTATACAGTGCAAAGGAAAATTTATACATTTTGTTGCAGACTTCTATTGAATGAGATTCCCATGACATGTTCCTATATTTAAACGGCCCTTAGAATTTAGCTACTTTTGTTTCGGAAATTGTTTTATTTCCATAACTAATCGTTATAGTTGGGTTACTTTTTCTTTATGTAAATTAAAATAATTTTTGTTTTTTTTCCAGATTAACTTTTAGGTTATTTGCTTTTGACCATTTAATAATATTTTCAATAGTAGAGTTTATATTATTTTGATATTCTGCTACACTGTCAGACTGAAAAAAATTGTGCTATGGTCTGCAGAAGTATTTCTAGATTCAAGAATATCATTGATATATACTATAAAAAGCAAAGGATTCAAACACTACCCTGGGGAACGCCATGCTACGTTCTATTATTAGACATATATATTTTTACTGCCTTGTAGAAAAAACAATACATAAATGCATATATAGATCTGTCTGATTGCAGTTTTTTTTTAATTACATCTGTGGAATAAGACTTCATTAAATTCAGTGCGTGCACCATAACGCCTACTTTTATTACAAAAATGTGTATTTCTTTAAAAAACATCTATTTTTTCAGTTATTTAGTGTTATCCATTTACTATATTAAAAAAAATTGGCGCTTGAAAATGATATTTAATTTCGTTCTATACCGATATTTGTGTTGTTAAAGTTATTTTGTAAGGTGCGCCATAAAACACGAAAAAATTGCAGGTGACTGGAGACCCAATTCCCTCCCCCCCTTAACAGGGTAGCGGAATTAAGTAGAACACTACCCCAGGAGCGTACTAGACTGCCCCGCGTATTCTGACGGGTCAGAATATTTCTGAGGGGGGGTTAAATTCCACTCAAGACGAAACTAGCTCGAGGCAAGCGGAGCAATAACAAAAAAGCATCAGGGGACTTCATTCAAACCTTAACGCATAAGGAGACGGCGAAGCCGGCCTTGCTCTTCTTAACCTAGACTCTCCGGCTTCATCTCATCTCAGTGGTAAATTAAAAATTAAAATTAAATTAATTAAAATTAAAAAAATGACTTTCAATAAGTATTATATAATGATCTATGTTCATTTCATTTCATATCTCACCTACTCGGTGTAAAATTAGAATACTTCTTTGTACCCCGGTATGAAATTTGCGTATACGTCAGAAAGGACATATGTTTTTGATGCCGTAGTTAGTCGTAGTCGCGACGACCGTACCCGCATCTACGGGTACCTCTATAGGTTTCGTAAAGGTGATGCCGACAAAGAACGTGGTGGAGCCACAATGCAGCTATTATGGTTGTAGCATGAATGGGTCGGCTCGACCGGGGAAGGACCACACTCTCACAGAATACCAGCGTAAAATAACAGTTTAATGCTGCTGTCTTTCGTGTGGTGAGTGTAGAGAACCGGAGATCAATTTTACTTGAATCGAGGCATTCCATCTTAGCCCCCAAGAGTGACAACGCATCTGCATTTTGACTCTTAAGCGAGGTTAAAAATGTAGATGTCTATGGGCCAGAGCATCCACTTACCATCGGGTGGACTGTGTGCTCGTTTGTTACCCTTATACTATAAAAAACGAAGGACTCATCGGCCGTCAAAATGGCTGCAGACTTCGTGCTACAACATATGCCATACGCAGACTCCTTGATGTTTGATGATTTTAACGCCCACCAAGCTGAATGGCTTGGTTCCCGTTTAACTTTCCCTTTTCATAGGGTCTGACACAACTGTTTACTTCGCCTACGCAGATCCTACATGTAGGAGATATGTACCTTGCCTGTTTGACGTTCTGCTGACCTCTCATCCGGACGGACGGTCTTTGTCGATGCCCCTCTTGGCTCTTCGGACTATTGTCTGATCTGGAGTACGGCGCCACTCACGCTCCAATCGTGGTGCGTTCTGCAGGTTGCCGCTGTGTTTGGCACTAAAGGTCGGTCGATTTTGACAGGATGCGGTTTTATTTTGCATCATAACCTTAGGGCTGGGTTTGGTTTCTTGTCGGATGATCCCAACGTTGTTTCTGATACTATCGCTACTTCAGAGAATGGAACTGTTTATACCGTCATCTGTGGTGCCTATCGGAGGCAGAGCTCATCCATGGTTTAGTCACTAATGTAAAATTTCATCACGCCATAAGAAGGAGTGCTATTCGGTCTGGGCTGACGCATCAATGTCTCGGGGTGCAAGCACAAGCCTCTCAAAAAGAAGTGTAATTCCGCCTCCAGGTCCTTCAAAGTATAATTGCCAAGGCAAAGCCAGAGCACTTCGCAGAATTGACGAGAAATTAGTTCAAATTCTTTCGGGAAGGCTGCTCAAGGAAAGTTCTGTCCGCTATCTCTATCATCTCTGCACAGGGAGGACCACTTACTAGCCCATGCCACAAAGGGACAAGCCGATCTGCTGGGCTCTCTCTTTGCGTCCAACTAGACTCTCGATGACGAGGAGAACACACCGCCGACCATCCCGTGGTGTAAGTATTCCAAGCAGGATGTGCAGTTTACACAGCGCTCGGTGTGCAAAGTACTTCTTTCTCTAGACGTCAGCAAGTCGAGAGGGCGTAATGCAGTCGAATCTTTCATCGGTTTTAAAGCATCTTCTCCGGTACTCCTACTCCTTAGGCGTAGTCCCGAACTCATGGGGTTGACTCGATCCCTAAAAAAGGTGACCGCTCAGATCCGCCCAACTACAGGTTCATCGCTATCACCTCCTTCTTCTCCAAATTAATGGAAACTATTACTAACTACCAGCTCATGAGGTACCTTGAGGGTCACCAGCTGATTAGTGACCGCCAGAACGGTTTCTGTTAGTGTTGGTCAGCTGGTGCTCCTCTGGATTACCTAGTTCATAGATAGGCAGAGGTCTAGCAGAGGACTCCAAGGGGGAGGTGTTGGTCGTTAGCTTGAACATAGCGAAGGCCTTCGATCGGATTTGGCACAACGTGCTTCTTTTTTCTATTTTCCTGTGGGCTTCCCGAGAAATTGTGCAATTAGATCACCAGTTTTCTTGCAAATCGAAGCATCAATGTCGTAGTAAACGGTTCCTGCTTCAATTACAAGCCCATTAACGCTGGTGTTTCACAAGACCGTGTACTATCACCAACCCTGTTACGTCTGCATATTTTGACAGCGCATTATTATTATTATTTATTATTTTCTATATAAAGTCGTCTTAATATATCTTAAAGGTAATATTTTATGAACAGCACACATGTTTTATTTTAATTTACCACTGTTTTTGTAAATACCTCTGTCTTGGAAGAGGCAGCAAGAAACCCGGTGGAATAATTTTTTAAACATAAATCATAACACTAATAGTAGACAGGGTTATTTTTCAAAAAGTAGCCAAATTTTAAACAAGTTAAAATATATAAATAATGATACATATACAGTTTTTCAGTTTTTGAAAATATGAGTAAATAAGGCTTCTACTTCTATTTCAAAATATCCCAAATTGAATGTGATTTAAGGGCAACAACGTTTTTGTCTACCGATCGACCCTTACAAATGTGTGTGTGCGCAGTAAAATTAGTTAAAATAATGCATTACGCATTTTGAATTTAAAAGATAAAATGGACAGAATGTCTGAGATCTTTTCAAAATAGTTTTATTCACCATTCGTCTATATTATTAATTCTGAACCTTCTCTGCAAATTTGGCCGTCTGTTGCAAAATAACCCTGTATAATTTTATTTTTATATATTGGCAAGTTAGTTACCTGTAACGTTGGATTGAAATGGGTATTCGAAGGACACTCTCGTTCAACCTTTTCACCAAAAACGCAAAAGTAAAATTTGGAGCAATTTGTCTCATGGGGCAATAGCTTGTGGATGTCGAAATCTGCCGGACAACCGTTGGGTAAGTCCTCCCCACCAGCCCCTCCACTTCCACCATCACCTCCAACAGAACCAGCGCACTCTACGTTATGCGGCCAATCACATACCTGCAATTTTTTTTGAATTTGAGTCGACACTGGAACTTACATTCCACTTGATGTTAAGTAGCTACTGCCTGCTACTGCGGCGCTATCGTTATTGCCGGCGTCCTTCCGGTCGATCTGGAGGTAACTCGTTTTGGTAGGATTGATCAAGTGTGTAGAAACGCTGAGAATGGGGTGTTGAGCTTTGAGTTATGAGAGTTGTAAGTGTGAAATTTGGGCTTAAGTTATGAATAAATGGTATGAACGATGGACGAACGAGACGAATGGCAGAAAATTATTCTGCTTTTCCCCGGACGTGGTGGCGTGGCTCAATGCAAATTGGGTCGTTCTGGACTACCAAGTCTCACAGATCTTCAGTGGGCATGAATGTTTCAGGACGAGACTGTTCGACATTCGAAATTGGCTTAATCAAGTATGTGTGAGTGTGAAATAGCCTACGAGGATAAGCACCGCGTTTTGTGGAAGTGCGTGGTTTATGATGACCTGCGATGTAAGATGATAGATGGAACGGTACGCGGAAGGATTCGCCCGGTTTACTACCCGGATCTAGTGGACGGTCAGGAGAACTTTGGCCGGCTCCGCGAGCTTGCTCACGGATGGCATGCACGAAGGATTGCCTTGGAGAAGACACATGCTAATAAAGGCGAAGACCAGCCCGCAACCGAAGACGTGTTTTGTAAGTCAAGTCCAAAAAAGGGAGAGTGGAAAAATAGGAGAAGGAGTTGACCGCAAGGTTGGTGGGGCCATGGGAAGTGGGGGGTCCCTGATATCAACTTTAAATAAAGAAGAGTGATCTGCACTTTGTCACTTCTCAAGACTAACATAGAATGCCTAATACAACAGTCACATACTGCTCCCTGGCAAATGAAAGGGTTAAGAGAGTGGACGAAATCCTAAGCAGGAAAGAAGTTTTACCACCAGTACGTTATAAATAAATTAACGTTAATTTAGGTTTAAGGTTTCAGGTCGATCGACGGATTCAACCCAACTAAGAAGCGCTTGTGAATTTACGAAAAAACGTCCAGTTACGCCGTTTCTTAAAATTTTGAATGTACAGCTTTGATGTAGCTTTTGTGAAAGCTTAAAATCGTTCAGCGAGCTATGCTCTGAGTTTCTCTGCGTTACGTAATCAATTTACAAAACGAAGATATCCGCAGTAGAACCAGAGTCACCGACCTAGCCTATAGCATGAAGCTGGTGGAAAACTAGTGGAGATTCAGATATTATTTTTCTGGTTTCATTTTAGGCTTTAGGGATAAAACGCATCTACAGTTTAATCCTCGTTGACAAATGTAAGTGTGTTTGCTTGTCACAATATTTTCATGTGAAAACCACAGAGGGTGGTTTCTCTTGAATGACTACCACACAATAAATCTTATACAGAAGTAAAATAGCTGGCTCGGCAGACATTGTTCTTTAAGTTCCGGTAGGTGGTGTGATGTATTTCACTCCGAATTAACTTCGAACCTTTTAAAGTTAAAAAATGTTATTCACTCGACTAAGACCTATCGGGTCCAGATTTGTGATTTTCTTTTTTGCCACTAAACGAAGATAACATATTGTAAATATAAGTCATTTAAGTCATAGAAAATATTATATTCAACAGTAGCGGTCACCTTATCAGTTTCTGTGTAATCAGTCACTGCTTACTGAATTAATAATTTTTCGATTTGGTGATTAATATTATCTTGCACTTAGTTGTTAATCCGATGATTTACAAGAAAACATTTTCCTGAAACACTATCATCAAAATCATTGCGAATTTAACGCGTTTTTATTGATTCCAAGATATTATTTCAAAAATTCCCCGACATAGAGATTATATAGTATTTGGCCCTAAGAGTAAATATATATAAATTACTCTTAGACTTAGTTCCTCGATTCAATTTTAGTAACAAAATCGCTGTCATACTCGTAGATGTAAAAAGAACTTTGTCCTACTTTGTTTGTTCAAGATGGTTAAACATCCTTAAAACGTAGTGATTATATTATTAAGTCTTTCATACTTAGGAATAAACTAAAATAAGTGCCTTCTGGATCATTATTTTGGCCAGTTTGTGGGTTGAAAAATTTTTGGATAACAAGGTCTAAATATATGGTTAATAACGTAATAATGATATCGTTTCGTCATTTTCATGGGACAGGAAGTCTTGTTCTAAACTCATAAAAATTTTGACTAATAATAAACCATGTTCATTAGCATTATCAAAGTAATTTATAATTTTTAAATAATATATGATTTACTACTTACTTCAAGTTCTGGGTTGAAGTAAGTTCCTGGCGCACATTCTCTTTCGACTTTTTCTCCAAAAACGCATTGATAGAATTTATTGCACTCAGTTTCATGTGGCAGAAGCTTATGTTCATCAAAATCGCTGGGACAGTCGTTAGGAAGCATTCCATCTGTATCCATATCAGGGTCACCACTGCCTTCTCCTGAGTCAGTGTCTGGAGGATTGCCGTTGGTTGTACAGTTAACGTTTATCGGCCAATCGCATACCTAAATTAATATAAATTATTAGTTACATTCTGCGCGTTTGCTTCTTTTAAGAATAATTATAGAAAAAGCTGCAACAGTACATATTCCTATAATGTCGAATGACGTGCTAACTCTAACGGCATCTCTATCAGTGGTATAGGAATATTAAATATAGTGGAATTAGGTTCATCAAGACATGAGCCATGATATCGATATTGAGTAGCTAGAAGTAGTAAAAGGTAAGCAGTTCAGTTAATTTCGCTATTAATTTCGTTGTATAGGCTTCTAGATCGCTACTTTTGGTAGAAATTTATATTTTTATTATTGAAAACACTTAGAAATAGTTCTCAATTATTACGTTTTTTCTTCTCGTTTTTGTAGGAGCTGGTATTAGCCGATATTCGTTTTGTATTTATCTAATATAATATTTTATTTGCTTAAATAATTGTATTGCAATTTTGGTATGTAATAAAGTAATGTGGGTTTTCAGTCTATAAAATCTAAACAACACGCATTTTTCTTGAACTGTTTGATCTTAGGGAAAAAAACTCAGTCATAATCTATTGTATTTATTGTCGTCGTTTTTTAGTAAGTATGCAAAATTTCACATTGTTTAGACATCTGAATGTGAGTAAAAACTGAAATGTGATATTCTATATCCACGTTCGTAAGAGGCGACAGAGGGAAGCTGAAACAGGAGATAGGTAGCAGCATCTTCCTCATAACAATTCAAAGTAAAAAGTCACCCCTATGAAGCAATCTATAGTGAAGCCTATATTTAGATGTGGACTTTTATAGGCTGTAACATATAGTAGATTGCATCCATAAATATATTCTTAGATGCGTACACTGTCAATGTTATTTTCGAACGTTAAATAAATACCTACCTGTAACTCCGGATTAAAGAGTGTACCAGGGGCGCACGATCTCTCCACTTTCTCTCCAAATACGCAGTAGTAAAATTTGCTGCAATCACTTTCATGTGGCAATAGTTTATGAATGTCAAAATCGGCAGGGCATCCGTTTGGTAGAATTCCTCCACCATCAGTATCGTTATTCTCACAATCTTCTTCATCCTCGCCACTTTCGAAATTACTGCAGTCAACATTCTCCGGCCAGTCACACACCTATACAGAGAATTAGGTGACACAAAAAGAAATATTTTAAACACATCAGCTTTTATTTCCCTATTTTTGTAGAATAAAAAACGTGCTAAACGTGCACACAGTTCATCTGGTGGTAAGGGTGATGAATGATGTAGCCAATAGATAGATCTACATATAGTCTCGATTAAGAGCCACAATCCAGATGCTTTGGGACTAATAAGATAGAATACCTCCTTATAAATGAAAAGTATCTTCGGTCCTCTACATTTAACACATTATTCACACACACACACATAATTCTACTGTTACACGCTGGTATTCTGTGAGAGCTAGATACTACTTCAGCGACGCAGACCTATTCTTTCTGTAGTTATAATATATGCAGCATGGCACTACCACGTTAAGTTTCTCACGAGGTCAACTGGTAGATTATGCCATATTAGGAGTTAAGTAAGTTTATTGTAAACCTCAGTTTGAGGTGATTTTATGATAGAGAATAACTTTATAAATATACAAAAATGTTCGAAAGATGTATTCACGTTTTTTTTTTTTTTTTTTATAGGATAGGGTGACAAACGAGCACACAGTCCACCTGATGGTAAGTGGTTGCTGCGGCCCATAGACATCTACATCTATCTTCCATTACAAATCAAAATGCAGATGCGTTGTCACCCGTGAGGACTGAGATGGAATGCCTCATTTCCAGTAAAAAGGGTCTCCGGTTCTCTACACTCACCATACGAAATACAGCAGCATTAAGCTACTATTTCACGCTGTATTCTGTGAGAGCGTGGTCCTTCCCCGGTCGAGCCGACCCATTCGTGCTACAACTATACTACTAATATAATTGCAGCATGGCTCTACCACGTAAAACGTACTGGTAATACCAGCAGTTTGCCCGTAAAAGTAATATTCTTGTCCCTAAAGGTCAGACGTCTCGCATTTTGACGCTGCTCTCCCTCATTTTGTTTTAAGTCTGACGTAATGAGACAGACATATCTGCAATATATATATTCTATCTGCAATAATAATATTAAAACTAAATATTGTAGGATGTATTTATTATACTCACTTGTAACTCAGCATTGAAATAAGTGCCTGGCGCGCATTGTCTTTCAACTTTTTGTCCGTGGACGCAGTAATAAAATTTATTACACTTAGTTTCATGAGGAAGCAACTTATGAACATCAAAATCAGCTGGGCAGCCATTTTCTAACAAATCTTCGTCTGAATCTGTTGATGCTGCAGTTGTCGTCGTCGTTGTTGTTGTTGGGTTTGAGGTTGTAGAAGTTGTCGTTGGTGCTGGACTGGTAGTAGTAGTGGTTGTTGTTGGTTCGGGAGTGGTAGTAGTTGTGGTTGTTGTTGGTTCTGGAGTGGTAGTAGTTGTGGTAGTTGTTGGTACTGGAGTGGTAGTAGTTGTAGTTGTTGTTGGTGATAGAGTGGTGGTAGTTGTGGTTGTTGTCGGTTCTGGAGTAGTAGTAGTTGTAGTTATTGTTGGTTCTGGAGTGTAGTAGTAGTGATTGTTGTCGGTGCTGGAGTGGTAGTAGTTGTAGTTGTTGTTGGTGCTGGAGTGGTAGTAGTTGTGGTTGTTGTTGGTTCTGGAGTGGTAGTAGTTGTGGTTGTTGTTGGTTCTGGAGTGGTAGTAGTTGTGGTTGTTGTTGGTTCTGGAGTAGTAGTAGTTGTGGTTGTTGTTGGTTCTGGAGTGGTAGTAGTTGTGGTTGTTGTTGGTTCTGGAGTAGTAGTAGTTGTGGTTGTTGTTGGTTCTGGAGTGGTAGTAGTTGTGGTTGTTGTTGGTTCTGGAGTGGTAGTAGTTGTGGTTGTTGTTGGTGCTGGAGTGGTTGTTGTGGTTGTAGTGGACGTTGTAGTTGGCTCTGTTGGACTTCCAGGAAGTGTACAATTAGCCAGAGTCGGATGGATACAGACCTTTAATCAAAATTAAAAAAAATATTATTACTACGTTAATAAATTAGAATAATAAAATAGAATGGTTTTTTATTCAATATAGATTACAAGTAATTCTTATTGAAAGTTAATACTTTACGTTACCACTGGTTCGAAAGAAAACCTCTGGAAATCACTCTAGGAAGAACCAGCAAGAAACCCAGCGAGACATTTTTTTAATAAATTTTACAATGTCAAGGGTCACAAAATATTTACAAAATTTATTTGAGAAACAGATTGGAAGCGACCACCTCATTCCCAGGGGTCATTATCAACCATATATTCATTTATATCATAATAACCCTTTTTATACAGTTTTTTCATTAAATATTTAAACTCGGTAATAGAGACACCTTGTATATTATAGTATATTATTTATTACATCTAGTAACTAACTAAAGGATACAATTTCCTTTGTATGTAGAATAGGTCACCATAAAACATGAAAATCACAATAATCTAAAAATAACTGAAAGTGATTGTCTGGTAGTTTCCACCGGTATAATAAGTTAAAATTAATAATTAATAGTATAAAACAAAGTTGTAGGTATATTTGACATTTATAGGTACTTTAACATTGATGGAGTTTCCATCAGTGTCAAAAGGACCTTTAATATATACCTAAATTCCTTTTAATAGTTCTGGAAAAACATAGCTCACAGACAAATAAACTTGGTGTTAAAACTATATTTTACATGTATTGATTGATTAGTGAGTGAGAGTACTAATCGACTAAGGAATAGTATGTTAATACAAATGCATAATATATGTATAAAATAAATTATCGTTTTCAAAAATATTTACCTTTTAATATACAAACTGCGAAAATACTTCGTTATACGATAAACAAAAACGATTGTTTCTTTTATTCAATTAAATTTATTATATAGATAGATTGCAAATTAAAATATTCAGCTTAATATCATCATCATTATTGCAGCCTTTCAGAAGTCTACTGCCCAAAATAGAACTTTTGCAGGTCATTTCATTTGGTAGTGGCGATCCAGACCGGTTGAACGTCCCCAGACGGTGGATTGCAGAAACGGATAGATAGATAGACAGAAAATTATAGGTTATGGACAAAAATATAGCTTATGCACAGATTGAGCAAACGGTCGAGTTTGCTAAGTAGCTCCTCAGTTATACCTGGATAGGCAATATCTGCATAATCTAGAATTGGAAGCAACAGAGAGTTGACTAGTGTAACCTTGGCCATCTGAGGATCAGAATACATACATAAACACTCACGCCTGTCACCAAGAGGGGTAGGCAGAGACTACGGACTTCCATTTGGCACGATCCTAACATACCTCTTTCGCCTCCTTTACATCCATATATCTACGCATACATGCTCGTCGGTTAAGGGTACTTCTAACGTGGCCCCTTTTCAAAATATCGCCAATTTGGTCGATAAACTTTTTTCTAGGGCGTCCCTTCCCGACTCGGCCGTTCACATCTGCCATATAAATTTGCTTTGTCACTCTTTCCTCATTCATTTTTTCTACATGACCAAACCACCGAAGCATTCCTTTCTTAATCCTGGTCACAACATCATCTTGCATACCACATTTATCTCTTATCATGCAATTTCTCACCCTGTCATTCAGATTCAACCCTAGCATACTCCTTAAAGACCGCATTTCTACAGCATTTATTCTACTTTCGTGCTTCTTCTTCCCCCCCCCCCCTTATACTGAGGAATAAACTCGTGTTTTGAAGGTCCCTTAGTCGTATCGGTAGGGAAAAATGATTCCACAAAGAAGTCGTTGGACTTCAATAACCACCGACCATCAGCTGGACTGTAAGTTCGTTTGCTACTTCAGTTTTATAAAAATAATCCAAGGCACAAAATGGGGTGAAGCATTCCTTCACATCTCCATAAAGACAAAATTCTGTTACCTGTAATTCAAACGAGAACTCAGTTCCAGGCGAACAGTCTCGAGGTAACTCCCATTTCATTCCATATTCACAGTAATAGAACTTTGTGCAGTCGTATTCATGAGGTAGAAGATAATGTTTATATTCCTCGGGGCAAAGCTCATAACGCACGGATTTTTCATTTCCATCGTATTCGTTCTCAACCTGGGGCTTCCCCTGAGCTAGGACCAGGGTGGCCAGGAACACGAGTTTTCCTATAAAAATATTTTTTTTTCAATAAATTAGTTGTGAACATCATTTGTTAGTGGCGCAAGAATAATAATACCAGAATATCATTATTTTTACAAAATAAGGGTGACAAACGAGTAAAGAATCCACTTGATACTAAGTGGATGTTGTGGCCCATAGACATCTAAATTTATACTTGATTAAGGATCCAAACCCAGATGTGTTGTCACCCCTCAGGACGAGCCCTGTCGAAGATGTATTTATTGGCTATAAGTCACAGCGATCACTTAGCATCAAGTGGACGTCGTTTGTCAGGCTTATATAAAAATCTTGATACTTTTTAAGCGACTTCAAAGATGAGGGAGGTTATCAATTCATTTTTTAATGTATATTATAAATTAAACGATATCTTCAAGGTCATTTAACCGGTTTAGGAGATTTACTTTTGCTTTACACAGTTTTATATATGATAGAGTCAGGCTGCAGACTATATTATGGTTGTAGCACGAATGGGTTGAATGGATCGGGGTAAGACCACCACGTAAGCATATAAAAGCTCGTTATGCATAGATCGGATCAAAAGTTACATTTCAAAAGCTGAAGGTTGACTATTATGAGACGAGTGATTAGTTTGGCACTTAATTCCCCCCCCCCCTCCCCATGACCATGTGATCAAACGTGGAGAATTAAAATAAGTAAAACTAAACGCGATATATATTCGTAAAATTTGATTTATTAAACTAAAAATATTCTCAAACTCAAGATATTCATATACATATATTTTTAGAAATAATATATTGGCAGTGGCAGTTTGCCTTAGACTTAGTACGAGTAGCACAACATGCCGGTGTCACAAAATTATCATTCAATCAAATTAATTTCTGATTTATAACGTGTTTGACGACAGGAAATTATTCTTTCTTTCTTTTTTTTTAAACTTCCCGCTAAGAAAATTGAAAATTTTCGAAAAGTTATAGGTTTCACTCCGATTTTCGAAAATCGAGTTTTCACCAGATCTCGACGTTATGATATCCCATGAAGCTATTCTGACTAATTTCACGTGGACGTCCGTACAGATGTATGTATGCACGCGTGGGTGTGTAAGTATGTAAACCTTTTATAACTCTTGAACGTCTTGATCGATTAAGATGTGGTTTCCAGCGTCCTAAAGATTTCAACGTGGAATAAATTTGGTGATAATATGAACTGATTCGGAAGAGTAGATTTGGAGAAATCTCAAAAAAATATTTAAAAACTGTTTTTTTGGCATAACTTTTAAACGTCTTAACCGATCGATTTCAAAAACCAATCAGCCCTTAACCGCAAAAAATGACGTTGAATGCCATAAGAATAGCTTCATGGAACATAAGAATAGGTTCATTCGTTCGTGGGATATGGAAGGAAAAAGAATGTGAAAAGAAAGTTTTTTAACATAACTTCGAGATTTTGCAACATAATTGGTGAAACTTGGAGCGCTTTACATTTGAAATTAGCGGGAAGTTCCAGGGATGGCCTGCAGGATCGAACAATTTTTTTAAATATTATACGTTACGCCACTAGGATTTTATTCTGTTTCATGGAGGCAGTTTGAATACATAAATTTCACAAGATTAACATCCAAACCTGGAACAATTATTTGTAGGCCGTACAAATACTTGTAGCATGCGGTATTCATATTCGCGGAGCTCATAGCCACTGCGCCACTAATTGTAAAATATTGAAATAATTCTAAGTCTTTTGGCGGACTAACGGAATGTATTAAGAAAATGCATCATTATTGCGCGAGAGCTCTTTCTTACTCCAAGATCTCTCAGTAAAAAAAGCTTTCGAAATAGAGAAATCCATGTATGTACTTAGATTGTTGCCTTATTTTATATAAAGTATAGATAGAATCCTTCCATCATATGAGGTGAGTATGGGAAGTGTCAAAAAGATCTTATGGCTTTCCATAAACGACGTTACAAGCATTTCTATGGATGTAATCTACAAGTCAAAGATGCGAGATAACTTAGTCGTTTGTAAATTTTGGAAACGCCTCCCTACTATGAGACTCCCTAGTCCAAGAATGGCTCTTATAATTAAACCCTCTCAGAAATGAGGGGAGGCCTGCGCCCAGCAGTGCCCAACAATTTTTACGGATTTTATTGCATATATTATCGTCGAACACCTACTAAAGTGACTACGTCCGTGGCTATGGATGGTGTATAGTAATAGAAACGTCGGTATTATAAAATAAGTTAATATTCGCGATAAAAGCCGTAAAAACTAGTTTCACTTAAATGCGTGGTGTTCGCGTCAACATAAGAAATCACAAGGAACGGACTGAAAAAAGAAGATGGATGTAGTCAATATGCTCACCGATCATGGCGTCACTATGACGCAAAGACTTGCTGAAGATCGAACCACAATAAACGAATTTATTAAAGCAATACTTACTGACTGCGCCAATTAGGTCCTGATTATTTTTATATATTCATACTTCTATCGATTCTGATACAGCCTTGATAAGTTTAGATAATTGCTTGTAGATTAATTGATAAAGACAAAAATTACAAACAATTTATCGAAAATTAGTTCCATTAATTATTATATTCTCCATTGAGGAACTAAGGAAGTATTTTTAGATTAGCACTTGTAAATGACATGACATTACACGAGCGTATGTTTTGATAAGAATTAAAAAAGAGCGACGTGCAATAAGCCTTTGTATTTTTAAATTATTCTATTATTTTTGGACCTGGTAAGATAACATGCAGGAAATCCATGGATGCAAGTGGCTCAAGACCGTGCTTTGTGGCACACCTTGGGAGAGGCGAATATTTAGCAGTGGTCTTGTGAAGAGCTGTAACGGTGATGATGACGATTATTATTATTTTTAGGAACAAAGTTGGAATGATAAATAACTTGTGATGAAGTGAATTAGTAGTAAAACAGAAGTACCGGTAAATGAATTGTTGGGCACCTACTAAGTTAAGTAAGTCAGTCAGTTTTCTAAGAAGGACGATGCAGAGTTTTCCTGGAAACCATGCATTAAGTATTAGCCCTCAGGGTTGTAATGCATCTCCATTTTGATCCTTAATTGGTAGAAATCAATTTGTTTTATGGAGGACTATGCGTTTGTTTATCGTCTGTACTTGTATTAATGATTAGTTTTAGGAGTAATAGTTGTAGCTTTATTCGGTAATTAGCGAGCAGATAACAAAGGGTCTAGCAGCTGGGTAATTATTAGGAAATCTCCCACGCACATCTAATATGCCTATGCACATAATTACACATATTATTTCATGTAAGCATTATATAAATTATTACTGGAAGTTTAGACACAACTTATTACTATGAAAGAGTTCTTACTCTGTTTAAAAGTTTACCAAAGGCGAAGAGGCGAAACTATACGATAAGATAAAATTAGATAAGTTCGGTGTAAGAATATCCACTACCCCATATCGTCCCGTAGCGTGGGTGTCGTAAGAGGCGACTTACGACACCCACGCTACGTACGCTTCTTTCTTATAACTACTCAAAATAATAAAAAGCTGCTTTTGACAACCCGCTCACCAAGCGTGTCTGCTATGACAAAATCCCCCAATGAGGCAATCTAAGGTGGAGGTCTATGCTCAGCAGTGGACTTTTATTAGCCGTGATGATGATGAAGTTAAATCAATTTAAGTTAAGATAAGTTACGTTAAGATAAGATAAGCTTAACTCAGATAGGCTACGATAAG